GGGGCCCCACCCACCCAGCACCGCAGCGACGACGGTGCCTGGCGGAGACCAAACCAGCAACGCCCGGCAGCTCCGCGGAGCGGGCAGCCTCTAACTCCTTCGGCGATACCGCCGGCTGAGCCCGCCTGGCGCAGCCCTGCTCCTCGCCTCGCCGTGGGGTAAGAGGCTGTAGCCTTCCCTGCCTGAGCGGCTTTGAAACCCTGAAAGGGGTAGCTTCAGGGAACGCTCGAAGCTGAGGGCAAGGGAGCGAGACTGAGGAGCCCTCACTGCCTCAGTGGAGGCCAAGGAGCCCCCAGTGCCTCAGCAGCTCTTCTGAAGTGTGGCAGCTGCAGCTTCAGAGACCTCAGCCTTCCCTCTAAGCCATGAGGCGTGGGATGCACTTTTGGGGCAAGAAAGGAGGAGACAGCAACCAATTATAACATACAATGTACACCTACAGAGAGCATATACAAATGAGCCTTTAGATCCACAGCTTTTCTGCTGCCCCAGGGATCTCTGGAGCCCTTTTATCCAGTGCCCACCACCATTTGGCAGCAAGATGCCAACATCAAGGGCCACCTTGGCAGCATGGCCACCCCACTGGCATGGCCTTCTTAACAAGAAGGTCGAGAGAGGTTATCCTGCCACTCTAGTTTGCTCTGGTGGAGCCACATCTGGAATACTGCATCCAATTCTGGGTTCCCCAGTTCAAGAAGAGCAAGCAACTACTGGAGAGTCCAACAGAGAGCCACTAAGATGAGGAGCGGACTGGAGCATCTCCCATATGAGGAAAGGCTGAGAGAGCTGGATCTGTTTAGCCTGGAGGAGACTGAGGGGGGATCTCAAGGCTCACAAATATCTAATGGGTGAGCATCAGGAGGATGGGACCAGACTCTTCTTTGGTTGTGCCCAGTGACAGGACAAGGAGCAATAGTCACAAACTAGTACAGAGGAGGTTCACCTTAAACATAAGGAAAAAACTCCTTTACTGTGAGGGTGACAGAGCACTGGACCAGGCTGCCCAGAGAGGTTGTGGAGTGTCCTTCTCTGGAGACATTCAGAACCTCCCTGGACATGTTCCTGTGTGATCTTCTCTAGGTGATCTAGGTGATCTAGCAAGGGGTTTGGACTGGATGATCTTCAGAGTTCCCTTCCAACCCCTACCATTCTGTGATTCTGTGATTCTCAGTGGGACTGCCCAGCAAAATACCTGCAGCTGCAGCCTGGTGTTGGCTGTCCAGAAAGCTGATAGAAAAGTTAGGGTAAGGAACACTCAATGTAGTAAAGGCTTGAGTGTATTGAATAAACACTTACTGAAAAGGAAAAAAAAAAAAAGTAAAAAATTTTACAAATTGTTCTTCCAACTTTAATTATGCTATGTAGAACTTCTAAATATTTCAGTCCTACAGACATTTGCAGTCCTAGAGCTGAGCTATCATAAGCAGATAAAAATGAGCCTGTTTATAAATTATTATGAAAGAACAAAGGTTTTGGTCTCCTTTCTGCAACTTTATAAAGTGTATATAAAATTGAAAGAAAATTACCTCACATTCTGCCACTTCTGCTCCAGTACTCTAATTTAGCCTCTTAGTCTCATAGGCAACTGTGCAGCCTAGAATTAAGTTAACCTAAAAATTAAATTCTGAAACTGGGGATTCAGGGCAATAGAAAAGCTGTGTTGGATGCGTGGGAAATAGTTCAGGAAGAAACTACTGAGAAAAAAATGCTTTCTCATTGTCTCTCTGCTTAATAACATTTATTTAGCTGTATTTGACAATGTAGCTTGTAAAGCAGTGGCAAATAGTATAACATCACGTTCATAAATTGCAAAGAATTGTGGAAGACATAGTAAATTACACTCTGGGTTTCACGCCAACAAGCAGCACAACGTATTGATATCGAGCTCTGCCTACAAGCATATTTTCTCAGAATAACAGTTGAATACATAGATTATCCGTGTCTGTATCTTTGCAAATTATTAGATTTGTCATTTATCGAAAAGCAAGCAAAATAATGATTGACAGATACAGCAGATAATAGTGAAAGAAAGGAAGCGCATCAAATGAAGATACACCCAAGGGAATCATTAATATATGAGAAGCCATCATGATGCAAACTCCCTGGTACTAAAGATACAAAATACCTGCTGTGTTTTTCTCTGCACGACACCTGGTTTCTATGGCAGAAGTTAACAGTTAGTAGGGCTCAGTGAGTGTTTCAAAAAAGGACTTGAAATAAACCTCCAGGACAAAACCAGTTCTCAAATTACAACACAGCAGTCAAGAGAACTACAGTCAGAGATGCTGACATTTATTTGGCCTTTGAACCAGATGTGACTGTACCTGGGGACTGCCTTAGAAAAGATTAGTTGTGTTTCATGATGGAAAACAGTAGGTAATGTTTTATGATGTGCCTTCCACTTAGCAAAAGTGGAAATGATTCGTGGTAGAAGCTGCATCTTTTCATTTGCAATGTAGTTTTATTTTTATAATGACACCCTAGAGATTCTTGTCTTTAACTTCACTAGAAGTTATACTAGAAAAAGATTGTGCGGAATCTGGGGAAACTTCTGTAAAAACTGGCGAAGAATGTATCCCCATTAACATATGGCTGAAAAAATGAGCTGGCGTTACCTACGTGTGAAGGTACTTTTGTTCATGTAAAACTTGAGTACTTTCTGCCAGACACGTTTATTGCTGAAAACTATGCAAATGGAAATGACAGCAATAAAATGACAAGATGACGATGCAAATGCAAAGCAGATTCTCCTTTGGAACACACACTTGGTGTTTAAAGCAGCAGTTACCCGGGTGTGAGCCAGGCTGCCTTTTCCGCTGACTTTCCTGCGTGAAGCTGCCCCCAAGGCCCGGCACCACAGACATGCTTCAGCTTTCATTTGCAGCGGAATAAAACACGCTGGGCTTTCAGAAAAGTGCTCAAATCGTCACCAGGTGACCTGAGTGCACCCTAAAAATCTCCAAACGGAACAAAAACTATTCCTCCTTCGGGTTTGCCCTCGGTGTGTTGGCTATAGGGCCACGCCTGAGCCCGCCTCCCTGGGCCTGAAGTGGCCGGGCCGGAACCCGCGGCGCGGAGCCTCTGCCTCCCATCCGGCGCCATAAACCGGCGGACGGGTTGAGCGCTTGCGCCTTGCGGCTGGTGGTGGTTGGCGGTGGCTGTGGTGCGAAGATGGCGGCGTTTTCGGGTACGTGGTGTTCGGGTGGGGGGTGCCCACGGCTTTGCCGCCGGCAGTGCCGCACCGGCGGAGCTTCTCGCCTCTGGACTTGCCGGCGCCTTGCGAGGGTGGCGGCTCCCGCTCTCCCCGCGGCGGCTGGGCCCTGTCAGGGCTGTGCGGCGGTCCCCGGGCCTGCCCTGGGTGCGGGGCCGCTGGAGTGTGTGACTGGTCGAGAGGACTGTGGGGACGCGGGTGCTCTTCTCGGCCCCTCGGCCTCTTGTAGGCCTTCAGATGCGGATGTTGAAATGGATTTGCCGGTTTTAGTGATAGGCACGGGCCCGTCAAACGGGACGGCATAAAAATCAGGCTTGTTCCTCAGGATGACTGGTTTCTCTAATAGGAGGCTCCTCATAACAGTTCTGTGTATTGCAGTGGGCAGTAACCGGTTGTTACAGGAGTAGCTCTGTTCTGTGATGTGGTTTAAAATACGCGTATAAACTACAATCTATAAACTTGCAGTTGAAGGAGGAAACATCACTGTCTTTCCCCCATGCACATACATGCACACATAGGAGACCGATCAATATTAGAGTACTGTAAATTTTTATTGTACATGAAGTTTTCACTTTGTCTCTTTTAACTGGACTTTATATTTAATTCTGAGGGAAATGCTCAAGCCTCTTATGTAGATCTAGAGATGAGTTTAGATGCTGGACAGCAGGATTAATTTGGTTGTAGTTGAGAAAAAGTTTGATTAAACCCTTACACTGTATATTGGATTAAACTATGTGAACTGGAAGTATCTTAAAAATGGAAAACATATTGTAGGGTTTTATGTATATTTGGCAGTCAGTAGCTATTTTATTGCTATGGAAAAAACTTTTCGCTTATCTGGATTGTCCAATTTTGTAGGAGTGCAGACTGATACTTAAAAATATTAAAGCTTTCTAAAATCATGTTATAAATAAAACCTGTTTCTTATAGCATTTGTATTATAGCAAATGGAAGAATAATTTTTGGCTGCATACGTCTGTATGTGTCAGCCCAGCTCTCTCTGTGTGTACATGTGAAACCCAGCATGTGACAGTGTAAAGACTAGCGTGTAAAAACTCCCTTTAGAAAGGTACTTAGTTATGCTTAAAGAAATTGATTTAGATCAATCCTATGCACGTGAAAAGATAACCAGCAGTTAAATTGTTATTTTGATGGTATAATACTATGGTTTGTGTTGGTTAAGATCTGCTTTCATCTTGCCCTTATTGCATAGTTGCAGGTCTTTTTTTTCATTTTTGAATATAATTTGTTTTATCAACATATGAATGTTATTATGCTTCGTATTTGACTTTCGTCTGAGGTACAACCATCAGACCTTGATATGAGATTGCCAGAAGGAGTATCTAAGGAAAAAAAGCTGGATTGTGATTAGTAACAGTGTGACAATCAGAGCATTGTCTAGTTAATATGTGTGCTGCAAGCGTAAGGCAAGATTTGGTGAAAAGAAGCTTAAATGTCTTGAATTTCAGTCCTTGCATGATACAGGTTTTTTTCTTTTTTTTTGAAAACTTTGCATCTATGGGAAAGTCAGGATGTTTGTGATAAACAAAGTCTTCCCTGTTGTTTGCTTAGGCAGTTCGTTAAATATGCAAAGATAAGCACCTTGCCCTTGAAATGGTACTCTGTTCCCAGTGTGTTTGCTTTGCTGCTATGTCAGCATCTGCCTCTGTGCTTCCTGTGTGCCTGACTTACTCTGCTGTTAGTGGAAGCAAATGTCAAAACTGTATGTGAGGGAAGGAAGAATGTTTCTTATCTATTACTTGAGTTTTGTAGAGAAGGCTGCATGTGCTGTTGCCAAAAAGAATGCTTTTTAAATTGTCTGTTGTTGGAAGTGCTGACACTTGGAACATCTTTTGGCCCATGTTGACATAAATAACACTGCTTGTTCTTTTTTTCTTGTCTTACAGAAATGGGTGTTATGCCTGAGATAGCTCAAGCAGTGGAGGAGATGGACTGGCTGTAAGTAGGAATGCATTTGGGCCTGGCAAAGTCTAATTTGCCCTCAGCAACATATGACATGCTTCTTAAAATACCTCTGCTGTCACATTAAAATGAAGCAGATGTGTTTTCCTTTAACTGTCATTACATGTCATGCACTGCTTTTCAGTGCGAATGACTGAAGAACACATAGTGTCTGCAGTGATAACATTTAAACTTGGACGAGCAAAGCATGACTGGTTATGCTTCAGTGTCATTTGTTTGAGAAAAGCCTCTGTGCTTTTACCTCTGTGCTTTTGGTTTGTTTATTATGTATTGTGGGATTATTGAGTGAAATACTGTTACAAAATTGATGCTAGTTAAGTAAATGTTTTCCAGAGTGTAGTCTGAATTTGTGTTCTTCAGAGTTGATGCTTGTGTGTCAGTCTTCTACAAAAGTTGTTCTTCCTGGTTTTACTTACTTGTTTAGCTGACTTGTTTTGACTTCAGAGTTTGTTTTGACTTGTCATTCATAACATTATCAGTATGGACAATCTTAGTGTATGTAGTTTCCTTTTCTCCTGTGCATGATATTAATTAGATATGATTGTCTGAAAATGCTGGTTATGTTTAGTTGTCTTTACTTTCTTTTCCAGTTTTGAATAGGAATCTTCTAAATGAGGGCTGTGTAAGTGACTCTACAAGTGAAACTCACTTGAAGAAAGGAAAGCAGGGAATATGTAATTAATCTGTTTCTTTTATAGTTCAGCATAGTGATTGGTGTGAGATGTAGCCCTCTTGTCAGGGTGCAGCTGAATCCACTGCATTCAGTAGTTACTGCCTGTCAAGGTACATGTCCTGTTCCAAGCTTTTTGTAAATGGAATCCTTTGGCTCCTTGCTAGCTGCAAGCCAAGAAGAATAACATATACCTGCTTTTTCCCATCTTGTAGATGACCATTATTTCTCTGAGCTCCTATATAAGCAAAAATATTTTTTTTCTAATGATAGCATTGATTTGTGTTAATGTGTTCTTTCCTCTAGTCTTCCTACGGATATCCAAGCAGAATCCATCCCACTGATCCTGGGAGGTGGTGATGTTCTTATGGTATGTATGGAGGATAGCCCTACTTGTAGAAAGCCTATGTTTTTTACTTGTTTGTGTGGTCAGTTCTCTTCTTTCCAGAAGAGTTCATAGTTATACTAGGTCTCCTGTTCTCCTTCAATAGAAAGTATATTCTTCAGCTTTGACTCCCTGGTATGTTTTCATGTGTTCTTGCAGATGGGATTCATTCTTTCTAGGCTTTATATTTTGACTGCTTGACAGGCACTGCCACATGAGTGAGAGCTGTCTGATTTTATTTACTTCTTTTTGTCATAAATACCTGACACAGATCTGCATAGTACATGACTGATACTGCCTCAACAAATGCTTCAGTATTGGTAACCTTGAAGATACCAGATTAATATGTCTTGTTCATCGTCCCTTTTGCAGATCTCTGTGTTAATTCTGTAACCAAAGTAACAATTCCAATAATCTTCTGTAGCTCCACCAGAAATCAGACTTACATAGATATTTTTTTCTGGTGGACTCTGGGAGCTTTTGGTTTTTGTTTTGTTGCATGGTTTTTTTTTTTAAGTCTGTTGTAAAGGTTTTCAGTGTTTGTATTTGCATCTAGTTTGTTTGAAGCAATGGCATTATTCTCTTAAGATTTTCTATATTATGCAGAAGTAAAAGTAAACCTAGTTTATAGTTTGTTAAAATAGAACTTTAGAGGAGTCCTTACAGTGTAAGTTGCAACTCTGTTTAAACTCTTAAATTTTTCCTCCTATAGGCTGCTGAAACAGGGAGTGGAAAAACTGGTGTAAGTAATCAACTTTAACAGAAAGTAAAAATCTTTTAAGTGGTGAGAGGTGGTATGTGTGTTTGTGTGTATGCATATATGCAGAGAGAATGTGTATGTGTTTGTATTTAAGCAGTATTATTAATAGTCTTTAAAATCATTTGTGTAGACACGTTTTAAATTTTTTCTGACCCTGGTTATTGCACCTGAAAACTAGGCTGAGTGTATATCTGGAAATATCTATATAACTTGTGGAATGAAACTAACTTTCAATTTTAGGCTTTTAGTATTCCAGTTATCCAGATTGTTTACGAAACGCTGAAGGACCAGATGGAAGGCAAGAAAGGGAAAGCAACTATTAAAACTGGTGGAGCAGGTGAGTTTTTATATGTCGCACTCCTCAAATTTGGAACACTGCTAATACATGTTGATTCCATCACCTCCCAAAGTAAAGTTAACTTAGCTTGCTGTTAGATAAATATTTTTTGCTTAATTTGGGATAATGTAAATAGATTTATAAATAAATATTTCTAAATAGTAAATAAATAATGTAAATAGGTATCAAAAAATTGATATCAATATTTCATAAAACAGTAAATGTAATTTTACTGATGTAGTCATCGAAAGAACTGAGGTGCATTTCACTACAGTCTCTTAGAAATGCTTATTATCATCAGCTTCAGGCTGACTGATCCACACCATACACTTTAGTGTTCTTCTGAAAACCATGTTAATTTAGTGCCTTGCAAGATGTGAAATGGTGGTAGTGTCCAGCGTAAAAAAAGGGACTTAAAGTCTTCCAGTTGCCAGGGTAGATGAGACATCAGCAGTGAGACCATACAGTTGTTTTGGGGCTCCTGAGTGAGCTTATGTAGAAAAACTCTTGTAGGCTCA